TGTAAAAGGCGGGTTTTCTATGGATTTCTGGTCCGTAAGTACTTACAGTAGAATCGTCTATTTTATACAGTAAAGTCTACCCAACAACCACTAAGCAACGGAATCTGCATGCAGGGGTTAACTCTCATAGTGTTTTACCACCGTCCTCATTATTAGATGCCCGCCAATTGCAAACCTTCAAACTCTTTATTGCACTTACTTGTATTAGATAGAAAAAGCAGCACCGATTCATAATGTGCCAGGTAGTGTGGGACATTAAAAGTTGATGATAATAAATGCCGCTTCTTCTATCCACTATTAGCACGAGGCTAAGGTACTTCAAGTAGCGACTTTGTATAGAGAGCCGTAAAGAAAAAAGGTTCATAGATTATATGGCGTCTGTTTCAGGAGGCCAGGTCTTACTTCGAAGGATTCAACGAGTGTAACAACGCTTGCCCTTTTGATCTACCCCGCGGATCTGAACCCTTGCCTTCTAAATTTCATTCTCCCGATTTAATAACAGACTAATAAATCCTGACATCAAGCTTAGTGACAAGTACCAAGTTGTAATAGAAGAGCTTATAATGCTCCTGCGGTCAATAAATCAAATATCCTCTATCAATAGAAAAGTGTCTCTAGCGCCATAGCAACATCTGAGGTAGGAATGAAATATCTCGCTTATTTACCCTCCCCCTTTTACCACCCCACCCACCCATAAGAAACTCAGATTTTGCTACATCCGACTCAGAGGACCACGCCTGAGTCTGAAAACTCTCTATGATTAGTTCTCGTAGAGGCGCCCAAGTATTACTGTGGTGACGGTGCAGTTATCATATTTCACATCTGTGCGACGCACCAACCTCTCAATCCACGTTGAGTCTTCCTGATCCTCGAGCCTTCTCCCACCCCTCTCCATCTTTTTCAATTCAACGAATTGATGGCGCCTGGCTGGAAATTACGAATGAATCTCTATGAAAGGTAAAGGCGAAAAAACCTTGAATGCGAATCTGATCTCTGACTGACAAATAAATAGCTACCGCTACGTACCCTTGCTATCAATAATGTTTTCCCTGTCATTTCCTAAGAAAGTCAAAAAGTGAAAGTGAATGCCTGCAAAAGTATTTCATTCTTTAGCTTTATTATGACTTTGTTGGTATGTGCATAGCAGAGTACAGGTAAATGTGCGAGGAGTACAAAATCCATAGGCGATGATGGTTGTCTTAAACACCTACTTGAACTTAAAAGATGCAGCTGTTTTGGAATAGTGGAGAGAGTTGGAGTTGGATCTTTACCATTAAGTATTAAAAAGGAATAATTCATCTGCATCTTGAGTGTTATGGGCTTTGCTCGAGAGAGCAAAAGCAACTTACGGCACACTACCTCTTTAAACCGTATGAACGCTCGACAGTCGAAGATCCCTACCCTCCAGAAGATGGAGAAGGTGATGTGGGCACGTACTTTGACATCGAATCATTTCTTGAAAGCACCGGTTGGAAGGAATTGGACTACATCAGCCGACTTCACCGCATCCTCAAACGATGCTGACTCGGACCAAGTCGTACAACCAGAAAGGTGGATCAGTACTTTCGAAGGCGAGCTAGAGGGAGGTAGATATGTATGTTGCAAACCAGCCAGATGTAACAGGAATGGCGGAAGATCCCGAGGGCCGGTCTGAATACGTCGGAACACCTGGTCACTTGTTACCGGGGTACGATGGATCTTCTGCATCGACCGGGGATGGAAGAGGAGTGCTTGTTGTTCGTAGGACCGGCAATCTGTCATCGGACGTTCAATATGGCAGTGGCCATGACGAAAACATCGAAAACCTGTTCGACGAGATGACATGGGGGGAGTTTAAAGAGGCCCTACATATTTTCTCTAAGCCATTGGCACTTCATTGGTGTGGCGGCCTTTTCAGTTTCAGCTTCAGCTTCACTGGGTCTTGTATTCTTGCATAAATTTGTACTTGCACCTTTTTCTATCCACCGTTAGGCTTTTTCTTGCAGTGAGGAAGGCCGTAAAACACTTTATTATACGTATAGGTAGAGAGAGCTTTTCTAGCCAAAACGCAAAAACGCCTTCCCATGTCCTCCTGCACGTCTAATCCCGTTCTCCACACAGCTCATCATCATTGCAACAAATATTTCCACACATTTAATACAAACAACTTACTTCTATTGTCAAGTCCGTACTCAGCAATCAGCTTCTCCGCCGCCGCCTGGCCCACAAGGTATGCCGTAGACTGCGTATGATTGCTATCGCGCATTAGCCCTTCCAGCCCATCATTGCAAGAAAGGATGGGGCGAGAGACTTACTTCGGCAACAGCGGAATAACACTCTCAAATGCTCAACGCCATTCAACTTGAAATCTGGATCCACACACACCCTCTCATCACCTTTCCTGCCCATTCTCACTGTACTGCACATATGCCAACTACTTCCCATCGTCGTTGAGCAGTATTCCTATATCCAGGTCAGTCAGTATTCACATGCACTCCAAATATCCAAATATCCAAATCCAAACCTCAAACTCTCCGGAAAACATACCCAAAATCTCCTCATCAGTCCCCGCCTCCGGTCCACCCACCATCCTCACCGTATCCTTCTCTAACACCGGCGCTTTCAACAACCTAACTAGCTCCCTGTACCCCTCAATCAAAACCCTCCCATGATGAAGTTCAGGGCGCAGAGATACGAGTCTGTAGGCTGGAGTTCGTAAGAGCAGATGTAAAGAGGCGGAAGGTGCTTTTCATCAATCAGTATCCCACCCTGTACAACCATTTCAAATATCTAGACTAGGAGAAGAACTTACAGTAGCAATCTCAAAATGGGGAATGGTAGGTTTCTTCAAATGCTCCTGGAGCTCCTTGTCCAGCGCTACAAATTCTTTACTCTTCACCACTGCATCATTCTTGAAACCCCCCATTGGCGTACTGCAATATATGCTATTTAATAGCCCGGTTTGATCCTTGCCATGTTGTGCTTGTCATTCATCTCGAGCGAAATGTGAATTTAAGAGCAGGTCGCGGCTTCCCGCGGGGCCAACGGGGGTAAAATAGCTAAGGAACAAAGTAATTCTTGTCACAATCTGTTTCTCATTAACTTATAAACCAAGCTGGTGAATTTATAGGAAAATATCTAGTTAGTTGTTCCAAGGAACTAGCTCTTAGTGATTGGAAGAACCGATCGAACCATGGTTGCAGTTCCAATCCCGCAATCTTGTTGAATACATATCCTATTTTTGAATAGTTGCTGACGTTGATCCCATAAGTCCCTACAGTCAAACCAGACGTGATATACCTGTTCTGAGAAACGTCCTTTACCAATAGTTTTTGAACTCTTGGCCTCCATATGGAGCAATATTGAAAGAAAACAGCAGAAAATGTTTTATCAAAGTTTGCTGGGATTTCCTATCTTTATTGTAGTACCTAAAGAGACTTGCAGTTGGTTCCATTGTCACATTCTCAAAAAAGTGGTATTATACGCTCCAACTAGATCGTGAGATGATTAGGCCTAATACTGATGAAGCAGGAGTGGACTTACCGTATATATAATCTTTGGATCGACATCCTGAGATCAAATTCGCCTTCAAGCAATACACTCAATCCGGGCCAGAAGAGGGCACTGCTGCCCGACTACTAACATGGCTGCAACGGCCGTATCAAAGATGATCGCTAGAAAGGAACTGGGATTAATGGAATGCATCTCAGCAGAACTGAAACTATGGCAAGTCCATTAGGCAAAGAGTGAACAAAAATGTACAATTGACAAGATACAAGCCCCCCCCAAAAACTCTGCACCTACCTTTATCACGTACAGCCATGATTTTGCAAACGTTCAAGAGTAAATATGTGCTTTGAACTCGTGTAATGGAAATAGCTATCGTCTGAAGCAATGGCGATGTCTCCTCAGGGTGATGCAGTAACCTTCTCGAGTCCAGAAAGATAAATGCTGTGAAAGCCTCATGACTTCGGAGATGTGACACGGGTATGCGCTTGCTTGCCTGCATGAAGCTTGTATCTGACTAGGCTAGCTCCCCTGCATTGAAGAAACGTCATTCGCGTACAAACAAGTGCCGGTGCATCAGTGTCACAATCCACCGAAATATCCACAAATCATGACCGTGTACCGATAGTGGCCAGGAGATAGTTCACTTCTATAAATTAAATTGGAAGCATCTGGGAACAGCTCAAGGAGAATCCCGGTTTCGCTTTATCCTGTGATGCCTTTGACAGCACCACGAGTATATACTTCGTATTCATATGTGATGATAGAGGTCGCAAATTCTGCGGCACTTGCTTGGCAAAGTCGTGCGGAGTAAAAATTATTAGGCTTTCTCAGTGAATCTTGTTATAATGAAATCGAATTTGTGGATGTGGTGTGTGACGAGAAGGAAGATTAGGCAAAAGAGTTACCTTAGTGTCAGATGCCTCGTTTATCTTGAGACCAGATTTTCGGTATCCGTGAATTCGAGAATGTGAGCCTGTGGAACAACATTGACTCAGAGTCCAATATTCCAAGATTTGAGTGATGGGTATAATCGATCATTGTATTGACGTCTGGTGTCTATTTGTACTACCGCGAGGAGTCAGATGGGGCGTGTGTTTGTAGAAACAATTGAACATGACGATGATCTTCCAGAAGCTTGATGGTATTGTGAACCGGATTATATTTTGTTTATATTTCTGCAAAGTCCGCCGAGTGGCGATTGTTACTGAGCCGGAAGTAAATGATTGACTTCGGACTCTGCAGAAGAGGGGTCTATCCTAGGTGACGTCTTGTCCTGTGGGGACTGGCGTTCGTGTGTGTGTTGGACAATAACGTTCCTTTATGGACTCGCGTGGTACTGAGATCGATTATGACTTCTTGTTGTCTGACAAGACTCCTCGAAACTTCTGGTAAGGTTGTCGACGCGTTGAACGAGACTGGGCCTCGGTATCAACCTTGTGCACCTTAGACCCAGGCGCAGACAAGTAAGACAATGGCACAATGCACAATTAGCACTGAGACATTCATCATTTCTATCTCCATCCTCCTACACGACCTTCGTCCCATCTCTCCTTTCGCTCTCTCCGTGAGTAATAGACTTTCGTCGCTTCCCGGTACCTTCTGACCCATTCAATAACTTCCCTCTCGGTAGCAGTGCCGCCGTCGCCCTCAAGAAAACTTTCCTCAAGAGCACGGCACACCATTTCTTGCTCTTGTACAGCTTGACTAAGCCTTTGATAGAGGGAAGAGGGAGAAAATGGTGCCAGAGCGCGATCCATATCGGACTGCTTCTGCTTCCATTGCCGCTCTAGGGCATGCGTTGATAGAAGTTGAGCCTGTGTCGATGATCTCAAATGGGCAAGACGTGCCTCAAGCTCAATTAAATGTGATGCAAGAGCTATGTTTTCTGCTAATGCAGCTTGCAAAGGCTCTTGTGCAGAAGCAATAGAAGCATGTGCAGTTGAGGTTGAATGTGCAAGAGCAGCCAAAAGATCGGGTTTCGCCAGAACATCGGCTAGATCTTGCTTTCTGGAGGCATGTCAGTCAATATACCGACATTCTTTGGCGCAACGTTACAAACGTTTTATCCTCTAAGATCTTGGGAAGCCAACGTTCGCCAGGATCTTGAATCTGTTCTGCATAGAGTACCTCACTATTACTGAATCGGGCCTGCTGCAGAGCCCGGGGATCGTCAGAGGCGCCATAAGTGCCGAAACCTTCTAGTTGTGGAGGTGGGGGAGGAGGCAGGGGTTGACCTCCGGCAGGTGTACTACGTCCACTGACTTCTCGACTGCTTGGTTTTGGTGGAGGTGCAGGCGGAGCATTGGGGTCAAAAGATTGAGAATTCCGGTGGGGTTGGTAAGGCGGATAAGCTGTTGATGGAGAAGACATATTGCTAACGAGGATTGGCAGAGACACTGGTACTGTACTGGTGGAACAGACAGAGGGGAAGAATGCTTCCAGAGCAGACCAGAAGATCAGAACGAAGCTCCTGATACAGAGTCCGACTAGGATTTGGTATGGGTGGGTATATGCGGATGTGATGTGATGTGACGGGGTGAGATTACTGTGCTGTACTGCAACAGTATAGCGTAGATAGTATACGAGGTCGTGGGCAGAGAAGCAATACGTAGGTACTCTACAGTCTAGGAAGACGGTGCGAGGTGTTGAGTGTACAGTACTGTGGCTGGCTCAATAAAGCTCGGACGGTTGGATTTGGATTAAAATTAAAGTGTAGAGTCACGTGTATTATCTTATAGAGCTAGAGCTAGTAGCATAGCGTCTCGCTTAGATGCAGTATTGGGGTATAGGGACTAACCGAGTCTGTCCGGTTTGCTGCAACATTTGGCCGAGAGCTGAAGACTCCAAATTAAAGACAGAGGAAGAGGAGAGGGAGGGGTGACTCGCTGCTGCTAATTCTTTCGCGTGCGACGGCAGCTGCAGAAATTCTCCGGCAATTTATTACTATATTATTTACTATCGAATACAAAACATCCTCATCCTCACACAGAGTGCTTATCTTGTTTCGAGTGGCGAGGGGGTGGTCGTGGTCCTGGTTGTGGTTATGGCCGAGAACATGAGAGGCTAGACTTGAAAGCACCGAGAAGACACCGCATTTCTGAGCTCTTACGACGATCCCCGTTATTATTCTACTCACGGGAATATTCTCTCTCGGGAAGTCTGTGCCTAAGATTGGCAAGAAACTTTCCACCCGCATCGTGAACATCTCGATTCGGGAAGGAAAACCAAACTACGGCTCGAAGGCTCTCACTAAGAGCAGTCGAATTTGGAGGGATTCAAAATACTGGCACATCATATGAACATGAAGCATGTTATGTCAAGTAAGTATGTACCGTACTGTACCCAACTGGTCTTCATACATGCAGCGTAGGTTGTGTAGCACAGCATACCCATATTATATCTTCGTTAGGAGGCATTTGCAGGTGATAATTCAGGAGGTACTTGGTGGGCCGGATCTGAATTTGATCACGGCATCCCCAGATTCGGTCATTGCACCTCCAGATCTCCACAGACTATCCTCCCACTAGCATCCGACCTTTTAGCAATCTGGAGCAAGCTAGTCTCCAGCATCACGATCGCAATGGCAGTCAGTCGTACGAGTACTCGTGGATCAACAGCACATATTCTTTAGAACTGCAAGTATCTAACCTGTCTCGTTGAAGTAGCTTTGATAGCTTCAGTATTGACTTTAATATTGCACTGGCTCCTGACCTGCAGATATACACCATTAGCATTTCTCTGATGTATGAGATTCTAAAGATGGAACTCGGCCTCATTATTAAGTTTGCAGGCGCGAGATCCACTCGCTGGTGGACAAGTGTATTTATCCAGATGTATGTTCAACCGCATAGGTGTTGCTGTTGCTGTTGCTGTCACCACTACCACCACTGTATATATATACACTCACTCCTATTTTGCCGGTGTCTCCTGAGAAGAGAGAGGGTGAGCAAACACCACACCACACGTCAATAATCAATTAATATGTGGGAGGCACTTAATAAGAAGCACATCTTTTACTCTTCTAAGTTCTAGACCATCCACAAATAATCCGCAGTTAGGTTGGGTTACGGCCAAAACTAGAGGGATTCCCCACACTGAGTAAGGCCGAAACGAATCAAACGGCCGTCCGTACGGTAGTCTCAGGCTCACTGTCTCCCGTATCTGTAGGTATCGTCAGTCAACCAACCCCCATCCCAAATACCATCCCATTATTCCATCCGTGACCATCTCTCTCCCAATTCTTCTCTCAACCACCGCCGAGAAAACCCCCCCCCCCTTCCCCCACGACCACACATCAACGACCGACAACTCCACACGAAAGGGCTCTCTCTCCCTCTCTCACTTTACACCAAACTGTGTGTTGATTGTTTTCCCCGCCCTGCAGATACGACTGCCCCTGGACCAGGACTATCCCAATCTCAATCCCGACCATCTGCCAGGAACCACACTTCACCTCGTTACTTCAGCGCAGGTTGCAATCTTTCACCTGCGCTCGCTGCCACAACGCTCGACTTGCGCCAACTGTCGCCATTTCTTCATAAGACCACAATGCATGGGACAAGTGTAACGGCGTCCCGGTAGCTTTCCTTCGCGACTTGCGCGACGTTGGCGACCCTCATGCGAAGAGCGTCGCGCCCTCGACCCTGATATGCCGTGTCGACCACACCTCTCTCGACTTCTGCGACCGAATGGCATAGATGCCAAACGCCGAACATCATGGATCCACTCCATATCACTGAATTCGCCTCGCCGCGATACTTCAACAAATTAAGACAACTCAATGAGAATGCGGAGAATGCGGAGAATGCTGAGAATGCAACTTCTTCGACGGCGGCTCCAGCTCCAGCCCCAGTACTGCAGGCTTCTGATCTACCTACCTCTGTACAGGCACCGACTTTCACGTTACCGTTAGGGAGACAACGGAGTGCTGATAATGAGATATTCCTGGCCCTCCGTCCCAGCAAGCAAAACAAGCGATCACTCGGGCACGACCTCACAACGTTACGGACAACACGGCGTCCAAGTTTCGCTGGGTCCTTTGGGAGATTACGATCGCAGGTGAATGTTATTCACAAAACACCATCAATTGTTGAGCATCACGAGGAAATCCTGGCCGCGGATCCGACTGCTCCTTTGACGTATGCTCTAGTCCCCATATCCTCAGAATACCTCCACTAACTATGATTCTATAGCTTGACCTTGGGAGATCTATTTCTCTCTCTTCCCAACGAACTTCAGACCCAAATAATTGCACCCCTTCCGATACATGATATTCTGAGCCTTCGTTTGGTATCAAAATCATTCCACACATCAGTGACTCTCAATGAGGCACCCATTGCGCGATATCATGTAGCGAACACTCTTCCCGCATACACTCTACGTTTGTATCCCCAACCAAAGCCCATGGATCTCACACTTCATTATCTTTGCGGGATATGGCATCGGCTACTCGTAGCCACGAAACTCGCAACCATGATATCTTCTCAAGCCACTAAGGAGATTTTCCTCCGAACAACCGAAATTCAAAGGCTCGAATTTGAGCCTCAACACAAGCGTATGCGTGAACGGCTGATGCCGCTCGTCTTCGCGCTCTTTCATTACTTCGAGACCTACCGAGACTTACATGTACGCCACATAAATTCAGGGGGTATCCCGTTACGGTCTCAGGTGTTTACAATGAATCCCATCGAGGTCCAAGTCATGTCAATGTACGACGACGAAACACTTCTCAAAATGCATCAAGTATTCCCGCTAGTAATATCCTCGTTCTCCCGTCGTTTGCGACCCCCATCCTACGCAGGACAAATCGAACGTGCCTTCAAAGGTTATCTGAAAGATCGACCTGCCGACGAAGTTTATGCCACGGTTCTCGAAGTAGGTGGATTAAGACAAGCACAGCACTTTTGGGAGATGAAAGGTTACAATATTCGTCGAGCGGCCGTGGACACGTGGTACGGATTCGTGACCCGAAGTCCAGTGGAAGTGCCTACCAAGCCTAAGATGGGAACGAAGATTATATCGCATCTCGGACGGAAGAAACACCAGCAAGCAGAGGTCGCGACTTCAGAAGCCGCAACCCACTCGGACGTCACATGCTGCAACGATTGGTTTTGTGTGAAGCCATCTTGTGTATCAGCTCGGCGTCGGCACTCCACGGATAACCTAGTCTTCTACAACAGTCTTGCCGCCGGCCCACCCATGGCTCCCCTTTCAAAAGAAACACTCCGAAACATCCTACCAGACCTTCAACATCTCTCTAATATATGGATGCACACCGCTGAAGCATTGATCTTGGAGAGGAAAATAGTCAACCGGCCGCAAGACATTAAACGCAATTCAGAGATCCTTCTTGCACTCATCAAGGAGGAAGAGGTTGTCCCTGATGCGATCTCCATGGACAACTTCACAACGCCTCCAACGAATGTGCATACCGAAGCACCAGCTGCACCTACAGGCGCTGTGTGCAACTAAGCAGGTCATACGATTGCATTTGCATGGCGTTATCATATCATCGTACCATTATGCTTTTAAAGCGAGCGTTTCTTTTGTCACCATAAATCATCTTCTATTTGTATGAAGTTTTTGAGCCTTTTTTTGCTTGCAAGAAGAAACGGGTTATTAGGGAAACTAGGGGCGTTTTACTGTGAATAGGAATATGAAGGAGCATGGATGGGATTTTGGTCACTCATGGAGTGCTTATAGAGATCATGTTACTCAAGTATTGCTAGCTACGTGGAGGGGGGAGGAATATATGCATGCAGGCTGGAGACGGCGCTGCCGAGAATACACTCAAAGTATCTATCTGTCTCTCCGTCCGTCGTTCAACGTTTGTGTGAAGAGGCCCGACTTTTAAGTTAGGACTCTAGATTCTAGAAGCCAACATCGATCTATCTCACTCCTTCGGGGTTTCGACCCAGCTAGTGCTGTACCCCTTTTGCCACTACCACACGGATGCCAGACGGCACCACCGGAGCCAGACTCGGGAATTTAATCATCGCTACCAGCCCGCCTCAGCCCAACTCCTGCAATTCTTGACCCCTGCAGTCTACAAGCAGAAATTGATCGTCTAGATCGTCAATTCCTCCACGTGTTGGATCGGAAGGAAGCGAATTTCGCGGATATCACTCACTTCACGTCAAAGATATACAGATTAGAATCCCAGACCGCATGCCCAAGGCCAAGCCAAATTTAGAAAGAGAGCGACTGAGAAGAGAGAGAGAGAAATCCCAGACTCCAATGCTAATGCCAATGCCAATGCCAATGCCAATTCCAATTCCAATCTCCAATTCCAGTTCCAATCAATGGTATATGTGGCTACACGCTACAGGCACAACAAACACAAATCATCGTAAATGCCCCATCCATCCTTTTCCGTTTGTTCTTTTCCCATGCTCAAATTTCTCCAGTCAAATCAGGTCATTATATGTAGACAAGTCCCGCCATTATTCCATTGCTTCCAAGAATATAAATCAGAATTGTGAAACGCCTCTCACGCCCCCTCGCCGTCCGTTCGTCATTAAGTGTCTGCTTGTGGTCCGCTGTTGTGTACCGCTCATGAATTGAGCAAAGAATGCAAATTTTGATGCGAGCGGGACTGATATCACGTTGCTCGTGCCATCCGGTCGATATAAGAACATTTTCTTTCCCTTTTCACTTCCGTTTCGGTCTCGGAATATGATTCCAAGCACTGTGTTATCGCGTCCCTCCTATATTTCTCAATAACTTCTCCCTCAAATCATGGTCTGTCGCCGTACTAGTATCAAACCCCCCTGAACTCCCATACGAGCCCGCGTTATTGCTCACGGAGCTACCTCTACTTACGCGTAGTAGATTATTCGCGCCACTAGTTGTATCGTATGCATTGTTGAGGCCGGATGTTCCATAGAGAGATCCTGTGCTGCCTGAAGAGCGTGAATGTGATGTTGTGCCAAGATTGAGATTATTTTGGCCGTAACCACTGGAGGGCCCTAAGGAGTCCAACGTGGGCAAATCGATGTAGGAGGAGTCTGAGAATTGGGAGTAGTGGGCTTGCTGACTCGGCTGTTGGGTGCGGGCGGTAGAGAAGGAGGGTAATGGTTGGGCCATGGAGTGTGTGCTGGGTGTTCGGTAGGGATGTTCTGGCTGAGAGTAGGCAGGTGATGGTTGAGCTATAGAATGCGTATTGGTAGCTCGGAACTGGCTGTCGGTTTGGGAGAATGAAGGGGATGGCTGAGATATAGTGTGGGGGCTGGCAGTTCTGAATGTATTTTCTGCTTGGGAGAATTGAGGTGAAGCTTGAGCCAAGGTATGGGTACTGGCTGTCCTGTAGCTCGCATTGCTTATTTGAGGAGATGCTGAATGGCCCCCGTAAAGGTTCGATGGTTGATGAGTTGGGTATTGCTGGCTGTACCCGGTTGTGCTCTGGCTTCTCTGATTCTGATGGTTGTTGTAGTAACCCGTCGAAGATCTCGAGCCTGACCCCTGGGTCATCTTTTGGTCGTCACGCTGAATATTCTGCTGGCTCCCAGACTGAGATGTCTGATGCTGCATCTGTTGTGGTAATTGGGGGGTCGTTTGCAGGGGAGGAACGGATGATGGCTTAGATGGCTGGCGCACGTGCTGCTGCTGTTGAGGTACAGTTGGTGTATGACTTCGACCATTCTGCTGCTGTTGCAGGTTTTGAAATCTCTCATAATGTGCTTCAAGTCCCTCTGCTGGAGGACGAGATACCGGCATACTTTGCTGGATACTCTGCTGTGATGATGCTGTAGAATCTGGAATTGTGCTGGGAGCAATTGGAGGAGTAGCACTATTGGCTACCGAAGCAGTCTGAGTATGTGACGGAGGGTCATTTGCGTTGGTAATTTTCGGCTTACGTTGTCGGGGGCGTTTTGCAGGAGGCGCGGTCGGTGTTGTGTCGACCGGAGGAGCCCACACAACTTGGTCGCTAGCCCTAGGCATACTCATCACAGACTCGTTGTTGATGGATGATAATGAACCGGAATCCTGTACCTGTGGAGAAATTTGATGAGGCATCTGTTCTGAAGTATGTACAGGGAATTTTGTGTTGGGAGAAGGATTTGCAATACTTGTAGTATTTGCAGATTTTGCCGGATTGACCTTGGGCTTTGCAGGGGCTCGTTTCCGTTTGGGAGGTTGGCCTGCTGCCATCGGACCTTTCGTAGATACAACAGGAGATGGAACAGCTGTGACTGCAGCAACTGCTTCGGGATTATGGGCTCTGAAAGCTTCAAGGACAGCTTGCTCTTCTGGACTAAGCTCCTCTTGGGGTATATCTGATGCTTGTCCCATTTGGTTCTTTGGGGTATCATTCTGCCATGACTGCTCCGAATATCCAAGAGTATGGGTCGAATTAGAAGCAGCTGGCTGGAAGGAAGATTGATCTTGAACTGCAACACTTCCCGTATTTGCGGCCACTTCAGCTGGTTGACCCATTTGTGCAAATTTGGACTGGTTCTGCCCCTCGGGTTCAACATTGTTTGAGCTGGCAGGAACATCCCCTGGCTGACCATCCATCTTTACTTTCTTATTTGTGGAGCCCTTTGGTCTTCCTCTCCTGCGCTTACTCCCAGACGCAGTGTTCATAGCCTTTTCTTCCTGCGGCTGGAGGGGCGTAGATGGGTTTGGTTGCGGTTGCGGTTTTGGTTCGGACTGCCTGGGTTGCTCACTTATTGCAGCTTCAAAAACACGAGGAGCTTGAGGGTTGACCTCAGCAAGATTTGTTGGCAGTCCCCATGCAGGAGCAGAAACAGCTGCCCCAAATCCATACCCATTTCTAGAATTTGGAATTTCTCCAACGGATGCTTCATTCTTACTTACCTTGAATGGGCGGCCTTTCTTCTTTACTTCGGTTTTGGTGACCTCGGGACTCTTTGGTGCGGTAACATCAGGGAATATCTCTGCCAACCATCCAATAAACAAAGCACCCGTCTCTCTTGTATTTGCACTTTCCGGAAATATGCCATCTTCCGGAGGAGGAGCTCCTGGTATGCCGCCAAAATAAGCTACAGCTTTGCAAATCTGATCGACGACCGTGACAGGATTAATACTCCTCAACAATGTCAAGAGTCGAGCCTGCTCCATCTTGGTCTCATCGGGGGCTAAAGGTCTTTGTTGCCGCTTGTCGTCTCTTGCGAATGGCGATCCTCGATTCGTGCTCCGGGTCGCCTCATTAATAGTCGCCTCGAGTCCCTTCTTCTTTGGCGGGGCATACTTCTGCTGTTGTGCTGCCTTTGCCCGCGACTCTGTATTTTCACTCGTCCTCCGTGCAGCAGCATCGCGTTCCGCTGCAGAATCTCGAGTTTGACCCTCGCTCTTCTTCGGGACGGGACTCATCCCCATATGCATAACCCCAAAATTGCCCTGCTTATGATCCGTCTTCCCCTTCAATTTGCTTGGAACCGCGTTCCTGATATGTTTGTCCTGCTTGGGGCCAATTACCCCCTCGATTACCGGGTTCGCGGTAAGCTCTACAAGCTTGAGCGCGGCGAGCCCAGCTCGTGAGGGATTGGCCTCGTCGTTGGTCGTTCTTGCGGGCGCAATAGATGTCGTATGGCCTATGTTCTGACCAGATGGTACGCCAGATACCTGAGCCATCTGTACTTGACGAGATTGCTGTTGAAGACTCGCCAACAAACATCAGCCTGGGTCGGGGTCGTTGCGTGTAGAGGCGTTGGCTCTGGCTCGCTCAGGCTCTGGCTTTGGTGCGTTCTTGTCAACAGCCAGATTCAAGAAATGTTTGGCATGTATTAAACCAAGAGCACCACTTTGCCTGCTACGAGCAATGTGCGGCCCCCCGTGACTGTTTCGGTGGATTGGAGTTTGCTGTCATCCCCAACGTCTGGCACAGCACTGAAGAGGTTGTATTGCGACACGCGGGCAGCTTGTCGCTGCGCTTTCTTGCTTCCGCTTAACGCTGAGCCAATAAAGGCAGCCACACCACCACAATATGTACTGTACTCGCTCGGGAGGTCTGCGAATGTCTATAAATATCGACCAAATATAGAAGTAACGTTTCTGTTTTCTTGTCTTTGGCCTTTACTACTAATTATCAATTCTAGCATAGTTCTTCTTCTAATGAATCACTATGGTAGCGTATAGGATTAATTACGAATTTGCGGGCAGGTATCAACATGGGAGAAAGAGGTTGAGGTGGCGCAGTGAGTTTGAAACATTCTGGCCACTCGGCATCCTTTTGATCCCTGTTTGTACCATTCTCTTTTCTATATTTTCCGTGTATCTTCAGCTGCATCCAGCCATCGCGTTGTTTATCTCATTTACTCTGAGGCCAATTGTATTTCAAAAGCCTATTCTCTTCAACCTCCCCATGATTAGCTGTCATTGTGAAGGCGGGAGTGGTATATAGACCGGTGGTCTGGCCTGGTTTTGTTTCACGTTGTACTGGTACCTTGATTCATTTGCTAGTGCACCAGTATAAGCTTGCTTTTCTTTCAGTTCACCTTGTATATACTTTGCCTTTCGTCCTGTCTACTCCTCGCCATCTTGCCAGTCGAACTATAACTACTATTGCTTTGGAGCTCACTATGATGTAAATTGTAAGGTTGTTTAGATTGAATCAAAAGAGAACTGTTGAAGCTGAGGCAAAGTTGGCTCCCGCGGCTCAGATACTAAGGAGTATTGCTCGCCAAATCTAGTTCATGAATAGTATGTTAATCAACCATGGTTCTTTATCTCTTTCGTGGGGGACGAAAAGCAGGTTAGGGACGCCAATATCAGAGTGGTTGTATTTATTATACTAGCTGGACGGAAGGAAGGACTAATAAATGCCCGGCTAAACAATGGGTCAGGCATAAGCTTTCCGTGGCACAAGTGAGCCTATTCACATCTTCATCAGACTCCCCGGATGAGTAACAGCAGCCGACACAGCTGCCATGATTGCGGCGCAGATTGTCGGCCTTCGAGGAGGGCCAAGAGGCTGGGGGCGGGGAATTGGAGCTGTGGGGAAGGAGAAGTGGAGCATTGTCAAGAGCTAAAGGTCAAGTTGAGGTCAGGTATATGGGTAGCTTGATTCTTGATTACCAAACATAGAGAGATATGTTGTGAGATGATACTTCATATATCTATTCTTTCCCTCATCTCATTACCATCCTTTCATTTTATCCTAAAGCTCATGCTCTCTTCTTTCACCCCACTAGCTTACACTCCGCTATCCTAGCCATTACGAGTTTACAACCATTCCCCACACTCCTTTATCCCTAATCCTGGAAAACATCTCAATATAGTATATATATAAAGCACCAAGCAAAGCCTTATACTGACTATAACTTAATCTCACGCGGCAACCCGCGAATAAATAATATATAGACTTATTGTCTCACGAAGCTTTGGAAGATTTCCAGTCAGATTCCTTAAAATCAACAAAAATGGATACTTGCTTCCGTAATCGCTATGATATGTAGTACAAATGATTGATTACTGGTAGAAGTCATCAGGGGTTCGCTTCGCTTACTACTCGCAGACCAGGTCTGTTTTTAGACTAGAGCGGTTTAGAATAGAACTTCTGGCTGGCTATTTACATCTCTGTTTTGTGTTATACATATTCCGTGTACCATCCAAATGCCCATTACATTGACTCAACACAAGGTTAGCTGATAACCCCTATGATCACATTCGTCACCCCCAGTTTTCATAATCATCCAAGGAGATTTCTCAATGCTTCACGCTCCACAGATCCTGTTCCCAACCCTTGCTCCTGGCCGTCTTCCCTCTTGATCTAGTACCTTTCTTCTCGGAACTGATAAGCAGCAAAGTCTTGCTTGCATCTGCAAACGCATGAACCAAGTCTTGCATTCTTCCCGTCTTCTGAAAGAGCTGCAGCACATCTGACTTTTCCTCTGCCATTAACGCAGTCAAATCCATGCATTCCATGAGAAAGTTGCGAGTCAATACACAGCCAGCGAACTGGAGTGTTTTGATGTACGCAAGGATCATCTCTGGTAGGTATGCCTCTCTTAATTGTGTAAACTCTACCTCCCATTGTTCTGTTTAAAGTCGATTAGTAAATGTGGCAAGTAGATCAAAATAGGGAACCTACGGTTCGGGCATGTGAGCAGCCATTGATTGAACAAGGGCTGCATTACCCTTAGTTCCATTGTGCAATGTTTCGCTAGCTCTCCGCGAATGGCTGGATTCCATTCCCTAGAACAATTAGTTTCGACAAATGGAAGAACAACTTTCAACTTACTGCTGCTCTGCTAAAAGAGTTTCAAAACTTTTCACAGTCTCAATCAGATCTAGAGCTTGTGCCAAACTCTCAAGCTCTCTAAAAGACTTTGCCTGCTCAACAAGATATTTCTTGAGGTATCTTCGGCGGTCTGCCGATCCATCTAGAACCTCAGTCATATCATCGTCACCTCCCTCCAGGCCACTGAAGTCAACAGCTTCACCTATCAGGGCACGCGTCTTGCTAAATGCAATGCTCGAACTTGGTATCTTCGCCATCAGGCTTTTTGCAGAAAGAAGGCGCATGTGTTCTAGGCAATGTTAGTTTTGCAATAAGGGGTTCGGAATGTGTGACTAACTAAAGAATCGTAAGTATAGCATAGTGCCAACTCTGAAGGTTTCGCTCCAAAGGCCATCCACTAGTAAGTACCATTCAAAACTTCTAATGAGAAGTACATCGATTCTTGGGAGCCGAGCTGTATCCTCTCCAATAAAATCCGCCTTGAGTTGGCCTGAGCTTTCAAAAAGTTTGAATTCTTTCAGGGCAGGGTACTCGACCTCACTATCAGGAAAGTCGGCGAATAAATATCGAGCTTGCTTGTTCACAAACTCTTGGACGTTGAGCCCCAGTTCCCTCATATTCCTAACGTGCGTGACTCGTTGTTCAATATCAGTGACATCAATTAGCATTCTGCTAAGAACAGCATATCTCCTGTTGCCCTCGAGCTGCGAACAATACAGGGGAATCAACTCTTCCTTGCCAGAGAATCGAAGAAAGCTGATGTAGGACACGATGACATTTTCAACCGCGGTCTGCCTCCAGCTGCCACCCAGGTCAAGACCGAGGTGCATGAACACCAGCAAAACATGCGTGAAGACTCTTAAACTATCGTGGTCTTCGGTGCCGATGTAGTTGTGGACGCTGTCGGGATGGGTTTTTTCTTTGGGAATTACATTTGATGGCTGTTGAGCGTTGGCCAGTTTTGAAAACGCCAGACCCTGTTGATGAATAAAATCCTTGAAAATATCTGCGATCAAAACGCCTTGCAGCATCTTCATGGGGCTCGATGCTTCATCTCTAGTCCGCGAATCGTTTCTCAAGGTCTCGATAAGCCTCTTCCCAGCACCTTGGGGTTCGCCATGAAACTGGACGGCATCGAAGGCACCGAAGTTTGAAATGGTAGCGGACACTGATTTGTGGAAGGGGAGGCTCTGGAGGTAGTTGTCAAACTGTGTCCGTAGCAAGGCATTGTAGTGGACGAATACAAAATCATCCCATGACCCACAAACAGGCTCAACGCTTGCGATGTCTCCACTAAGGATTCCATAGACAGCCCGTTCGAAGTCATCTCCTGACGCTCCTCCTCCGTGACGAGCCAGAGCAAAACAAGTCCGCCTCCACAGAGTCCAGGACGCAGGATCTGCAATCTCTGCATCTTCCTCATCCCCGTCAGGTAAACCCGACATACTGACAGCTCTCCAAACCTGGCTGCGGTCAACACACCAGTCTCTGATCTCGGCTGGAGTACTTCCCCGGCGAAGCATCTCGTAACAGCCTAGCCATATGGCACGCTCAAAATATTGATCTTGCATCTCTAGCTTTCTGTTTTGCCTGGTTGAAGCATCAGGATCAAGTTGGGTGACTAGTAGTGCTGTCTTCGAAGTATTCAAGAAGGCCTTTAGTTCTGGTGCCGACGGATCCAAAGGTTTACTCCACGTATGAAGTCGCTTCTCTTTCTTCACAGCTTCTTTTGTATGGATCCACCCGTGGGCTATAATGTCTCCCCTTTCGGCATTTTGTTGGAGCTCCTGTACCAGCTCGTCGATAGGTTCGCCATCTTCCTTTGCAGCATCCTTCAGCCATTGGAGAACAGTCTTGCGTTCGAGAGCAAGTGTGTCAGTCTCCAAGAAATTATCCCACAGTTCAAGCCCGCTTGAATACTTGTGAAGTACCGGCGCTGGCTTCTTTCGTTGACTGGTTTCCGCTGGAGCATATCGCAGATATACGAGTCGGCGCAACAAGTCCCAGGTCCGTGCCTCCTGCTCCCAACGCTCCAGATCAGCCAGGTCAGTGGGCGCATCGGGTAAGGGAGAGTCTTCTTGATCTTCGTCGTCGATTTCTAATGCGTCTCCAGCATTATCGATACCACGCATCCGTTTCCTCTGTCTAAGACCAGATTTCTGCCGCCGCTCTGCATCATGCCTTTCGCCTAGGCGCTTTACCGTTTCTATTGCGATCGTGTGATACTTGTCAAGGAGTTCCAGGACCATTCCGTGCCTTTCTTCATCGCCGTCGGGTTGCTGTATAGTATAACCGTCTAGGACCTCGGCAAACTTTTCCACCTCTCTACCAACTCGATCTGCTGCCTCGCGGAGAGGATGGAGAATATCTTCGTGGTCCTCTGGACCCTCAAGCAGAAACTGTCGGTCATCTAATAAATTTACATTCAGTCAGTATCCAAACTATGCACGCAAGACATTCGAGGAGCTGCCTACCATCTTCTTCATCACGGTCGGACCTCATGTCTACGTCTTCATCGTAGGAGGAGGTCGGTTCTTCGGAGAGTGCTCGTTCAGATCGATCGTCCGACTGCATTGTTCCACTTGTCAGCTTTCGAATGCCTTCATTGCAGCTCCAATCATCGCATTACTTACTCCTACAAAGTGCCAGCTAGGCTCTCGATATCTCTATACAAGATAGCCGTTAGTATAGCTATCCCTAGCTTGAATGGTGTGAACTTTCGTACCTGGTGAGGTTTAGATTGCAACCCTTCAGGAGCCAAGGAGCTGGCACCACTCCGAGTCATGGGTGCCATTTTGATGTATTAATTAACTGCTGGGTTTGCACACATACACGTCGCGCGCTGCATATGGAATGTACGCGTGGTAATTGAGGCCCGTATGCTTGAAGATGCAGCTGTAAATAAAGGTCCATAATGGTACTAACCAGAAAGTTACTGTAACCGCGTCACGTTAGCGAGCGGCGCTAAGAACGGGGCGCATATAAAAAACTTCGCTCTCCTCTAAATCTCTTCTTTTAAAAAATAATGTCAAGGCCATCTAAATAGAGTCTCGGAATAAGCCTCCTCAGGAGTAACCATCATTGCTTATTCAGGTCCACGGATCTCTTTGCGCGCTCATGATCGCCCAGAAGAAAATCGACTCTTCCTGTTCACGTTCCCTGACCTTTTTTGGGCTGACGGTGGGCAGTAAACTTGGAGAGTCACACCTCTAGAGAGGAACTATGAATTGCACAACTGGTTTACGAGAAGCTGGAAGCTGATCCCCTGGGGTCTCCAGTCTCTAATTTATGTACAAAATTCGTGATCCTCCCTCTGTGCTCTACCTCTTGGACGACTCCTCGGCTCTCTGCTTCATCTTCAGCCTCAGCAAACTAGCTTGAGGACAGCATACGGATTTTGCTTCATCTCCATTACGCGCATAGAATGAGTTGCAGCATTCATAGAGAGCGTCGATCTGACCTTGACACTTAGATTCCTGGTATGAATTTTTGCCTAGACATGCTTAAACGCTGTCTGTCAGTATAATACGGATTGAGAGAATGGGTTCATGAACCTTGTATAGCACACTGCAAAGATAAAATTAGCAATAAGAATAGAATAAGGTTCGGAATAATAAACGTACAGCTTTAGCATGACATGGAGGGTCAGTCTCCAAATCGTCCTTCGAAGCCTGAGGTTTGCGTCAGTGAAAAAAGCCCAGGTCAAGGTCAAGGAATGTGCCAGAAATGCTTACCATTTGATACAAATTTGCACCAAGGTTCACTTAATAGTTGGGCAACAGTCAGCAGCGTTTCTTTCCTTCTGTGACCTTTTTTGGGTTTTGTTGCCACAAAGTCCGACCAAATATTCCGCCTCTTGACATAGATCGATCGCGCTAGTCCTAATTCCGCAACCAGAGTGGGTGTAAATTCTCCCCCACTACAGCATCTTTCCAACCTCAAACCTCACCCTCACAACTCTTTAAGTCGTCAAAGCATTGCAAGACAAGTTAAGGCTTATTGCCTCTTAGATCTTGCGCATAGTAAGTTAGCTTTACCCTGTTCTCACTGCTCCTCGGCGAGTCCTACTGACGCCCAAGATAGCCTTCTTCGCAAAGCCTCATCCTAAAACACCAGACTTTGTAACCACAATGTCTGGTTCCCCTGACAATGGAAGCCCTGGTGCCGCCGAGAAGCCTGAAGGCGCTGGACAATCTGAGCATCTAAACATCAAGGTCACCGATAACAACAACGAGGTCTTCTTCAAGATCAAGCGAACAACCGCACTCAAGAAGTTGATGGATGCCTTCTGCGAGAGACAGGGCAAAGCCTCATCATCTGTCCGGTTCCTCTTTGACGGTAGTCGCGTACAACCCACCGATAGCCCAGACACTGTAAGTACTGCCATCTCGTTTCATGTCCCGGAAACACAGCATCCATTCTTTTACACGATCTCTTGAGGCTAACATATTTTACAACACAACAGCTCGACATGCAAGACGGCGACACGCTAGAAGTTCATCAAGAGCAGATCGGAGGCGCGAATTAAGTGATGAATGAACGATGATGAATACGACAATTTGGTGATCACTCGTGGTTTAGAATATGGCAAATGTGGCATTCGAGGGGATTACGTGAGTGTTATTTGCATACGGGGGATATGGATTTGGGTTGTTTTCGGGGATTGAATTGAATGGCAATGGCGTGTAGGGCGTCAACACATCGCATGATTCCCTTTTCCACTGGGAGCTGAGGTTCAGAAGCAGTGTTTTATCCGCAAGGACATGGGCTTAGTTACTGTAGCTCAATCAATCATGCAGTTTCCTCACGGGGTCTCCGTCCAATATTGTTGCTACCTAATCTGTGCTACGTGAGCGATGAGTTACTGACACGGGACATCCCGAATCCTGAATTAGTAGGTAGGTACTCTTGTACAAACTCCAAACCTAACAAGACCTTCAATATTTGTCTACGGCAAGAAGTGGATAGAGTCCCGACCTTGACTTGACTTTGTACCCCAATTTTGTAGCTTCTCAAGTCCGATCGGGATATACGCAGTAAGACGTAATTCAAACGCGTCAGTACGTGCCGTATGTTCCTCAGCCGATCAGGAACAGAAGCGGGCGCGTGGAACCCCCACAATTGACTCCGCATTTTTCGTGGCTCTACTACGGGTCTGCTCTGGTCTGGGCTGTTCATGCATGGAACCAACTGAGAACACTTCAGGCCTCCGAGTGTTTCTCGCATTGCACAGCATCTCTGCTTGTACATGAAACCGAAGACTGATATCACTATACCAAGTAGGTGACCAGGAACTGAAAGCATCTATCAATTACTTAGTCTTTCCCCCTCGAGCCAATTACTGGTAAATACACCATGTACAAGAGCATTTACTGACTCAAGTCCCAACAGTATCGACCTCTTCTTCATACATACCGAAATCAAAATGGCAGAAGCAAAAGGTATATTGCCTCTGCTGAAGCTTCCCATTTCTCAATTCTAACAAACTACAGAACTCAATTCCTCCCTCACCAAACTGAGCCTAGACCCCCAGCCCTCGAAATCCTCCAAGTCCTTCAAGCAAAAGCAGCAAACGCTCGCCGACTCCTGGGAAGACGAAGACGAAGACGAAGCATCAGGCGAAGATACAGACCGTCCGCTCTCTCCCCAACAATCAGCAGACTACCCCAGCGCACCACCCCCCACACCCATCTCCCCAAGCTACAACCGCGAGTCAAACTTCATCAGTCCGTATGGCTACAATGCAAGCGATACAATCCCAGAGAGAAGTGGGAGTGCTAGTTCTAGGCCCGAGAAAACGGATGCGGTCGCGAAACGCATGATTGCTGGGGCGTTGGGCGTCAGGGCACCGAAGAAGACCGAGGAGCAGAGGGCGTATGAGAAGGCTGTCAAGGAGAAGGAGATCAAGCGGCGAGATCAGGAGAAGGAGGCGGCTGTGAGAGCGAAGGAGCAGGCGGAGAAGGCCAAGGCTGCTATTTGGGAGGATTAGCGTGGAGGGGTTGTATGATTGGGAATATGGGGCGGGAAGAGAAAAGTGCATTGCATTAAGGCGTTTAGGGATGGATGTCACACTTATGTTGTGTCTAAAGCATCATATCCGATTTATCGGCCATAGGGAGGGTTTTTGAGTCTGATTTCCCGCTGTCATCCAGCAGACGGACGGATGAAGGTATTCCTTATTCGGAATGAGGATCAAGCTCAATTGAGCTACGACAGTCCTTTCGGCTTCATATTACCAAGAATATGCCTACAGCTATTTCTTGTAAGAGCTGTGGCCATTAATCATAGATTGCATTAATCGCCCTTCAATAGTAATGCATATACGCGCATCTCGTTGATGCGTATTCTCATGACGACTCCTTTCCTCTATTCATTCAAGATGCCTCCAAACCTCTTCAATTGCTTTCAGTGTACTCTCAAAGAAGCAACTATAAACTTCCAAATGCTATGCTAAGTAGATCCAACGTGTCCTCGACGAACTACTATATATTCATACTTCAAGTAATTAAGTAACCGATTCATCAACAACCCATGGAAAACATTCCCAGCACAAGATCAAGTCTGAAAGAAGCTGGATTTAGTATTCTTCTCAACCATGTTATTAAAATCTACCTACCTGCCTATATTCCAATATAAACACCGCGTCTTTCTGAAGAGTAATTGATCGATCTCGTCTTGTCTTGTCTCATCTCCTCGGCACGTCTTTCTGCCCTACCCCACCCCCACTGCACTCACGTAAATCAATGTCAATACCCCACCATCTCCCTCCGAGCACCTCCGAGGCACTTTCTACACAGTACATTCCCCATACATACTCCGTACAAACTGCGAAACGTTACATCTTCTCACTCTCACGCGTGTCATTTTTCTAGATTCCTGCTTTCTACTTGTACATTATCTCTATTCCTGCGTAGATTAAAAAGTGACGGGACTAGAAACGATGCTTGCAATGCGTCGCCAGCTATGGCACATGCGCATCCGGGGTCGTCGGAGACATTTGAAAACGCCATGTTCGAGAGCGTTTAGTGTATTGGGAAGAAGGGGGGCTTATGAGGATACGATAGGGAATTTGAAGATTGGGAGGGATACGAGGGTTGTTTTTCAGGGGTTTACTGGTATGAATGAATGGTTTTTTTTTGGGGGGGGATTTCTGATATATCTTTTGCTTGCTTGACCGCTTCGTTTTATGCGTATATACATACATATCTACATACATATATATCTACATAAAGCTAACGAGTTTGACAGGTCGACAGGTATGTATAATGCCCTCATTTTGTATATGTATATGTGTATGTGTATGAGCTCATACATGTATATATTGAAGTGTTTGGATTTGCGTTTGGGTTTGTGTTTATGTTGATGTTGATATTAATATTGTGTTTATGTGCAAAGGCAACAGCCAACGCCAAAGAATCAATAGCATGGGGCACCAATATCGTCGGCGGCGTCACGCCCGGCAAGAATACAGAACATTTAGGACTCCCGGTCCTTCCATCTGTTCGAGAGGTATCTTCTCCTCCTTTACGTTTCCCATTCGTTCACTTATACATTAATCAATCACATCCATCTACATTTCATATTGATCTGATCAATAAATTACTAACCTCATCTCATTTACGTGTGAACAGGCAATGCAGAAACTAAAACCACACGCAACGGGTATCTACGTAGCAGCACATCAAGCTCCCGCAGCTATCGAAGAAGCGATTGAGGCCGAGGTACCGCTTATTGTTGCTGTAGCGGAACATATTCCCGTTCATGATTTGTTGAGGGTGCGTTTCTTTTCTTTCTTCAAGGAGTATTTGAGGGATGGAAGTAGATGTGCAGGTGGATGTGGAGGTTAATGTGGAATGGCTGTTGATATAAATGTGATGGTAGATACATTCGATGCTACACACACAGTCGAAATCCAGACTCGTGGGTGCGAATTCGCCGGGTATTATATCGGCGGTCGGGAGGTGCAGGATTGGGTTTCAGCCGTTGCCTTGTTTTATGTCGGGGAGGGTGGGTATTGTTGCGAAATCGGGAACGTTGAGTTATGAAGGTGAGTTGAGAAATTCATGAAGTGAACATTACTGACGTCGGGATACTGTAGCTGTGGCGTCTACGACAAGAGCTGGACTTGGTCAGAGTCTGTGTATTGGCATGGGAGGTGATGTTTTGGCTGGGACTAGGTTTATCGATGCGCTGAAGATTTTTGAGCATGATGATGATACCGAGGGTATTGTGTTGATCGGTGAGATTGGGGGGATGCCGAGATGGAGGCTGCTGATTGGATCACGGAGTACAGGAAGCGTTCTTCAAATCCCAAGTAAGCATTCTCTTGATACTGGACTTGGTTTGTTCTGATAAGTGGTATACAGGCCTATAGCAGCAGTCATTGGAGGCGTCAATGCTGCTCCAGGCCGAGTTATGGGCCACGCAGGAGCTTTCATTTTACCCGGAGAACCAGATGCACAGGCCAAGGTCAAGCGGCTTCAAAATGCAGGCGTCACTATTGTCAACCACCCAGCCAAGTTCGGGGAAGCCATGAAGACGTTACTTGGAAGCTCTGGACGAGCCAGCAGTGGAGCCGCTACAACAGGAACATCGCAGCGAAGAGGAATGCATATGATGAGGAGGCGACCAAAAGTTCAATCGCCAGTCTCAAAATTTGCCGCCCAGAAGCGCAATCTGTATATCAGAGAAAATCTCGCTTTTGACTTGCTTCGAGAAAGAGGCGTCAACGCCTCGGAATATTCAGGTAAAGGACGAAAACGCATGCTCGCTGTAGGTATTGACCGCGCAAACATGTCACCATGTATAATCGCTTCACCGGCGACTAACAACCAGGAGCCTCATGTGGAGGCAAAGAAGTTCCCGTTCAACTACATGAAGGGATTTGAGCCCAGCCAAATACCAGTGATTGCTGAGCACTTGCAATTGGGAGGCACTGCAAAGGAATCATTGGCAAAGCTCATCAATAGTCTAGTTAACTTGTACATGCAGAAAGAGGCGTTCCTACTCGAGACATCTTTCGTGGAACGCCTAGGGGATCTGAAAGTAGTGGGCGCTCATTTCGGCTTCGACGATGCTGCATTTCGAAGCACGAAGCGGCAAGGAGATATTCATGCCCTTCGAAGAATCGAAGATGAAGATGCGCAAGAAGTTGAAGCTGAAGAGGATGGCATTGTGTATATCAAGCTTGCAGGAGATGGAAATATCGGGACTTTGGTCAATGGAGCAGGTCTTGCAATGAACACCATTGATGCCCTGGCTGATGCTGGAGGCAAAGCTGCGAATTTCCTGGATACTGGTGGCAAGGCCACGAGTGAGACGGTGAAGAAGAGCTTCCAGGTGATTTTGCAGGATGAGAGGGTGAAGGTTATCTTTGTGAATATTTTTGGGGGTTTGACGTTGGGGGATATGATTGCAAATGGGGTATTGCTTGCGTTCAAGGAGCTCGAGATGAGACTTCCTGTCGTAGTACGTATACGCGGGACAAATGAGGCGGAAGGTCAAAAGATTGTAGGTTTGGGATTCTTACTCGGAAGGATTTGCAACTAAAAGTTTGAGACAGATTGCGGAAAGTGGCCTGCCTCTGCACGCCTTTGACGACTTTGAGGAAGCAGCGGCAAAGGCAATAGAGCTGGCTGGTTGATAGGGGTGAGTGATAAGTAAGGTCTCGGAATATTGGCATGTTTTAGGAGATTATTACTATAAATACGAAGGATGCCAAGAGATAAACCGATCAAGAGGCAATCCGGAAGATCCGCGTCTTTACTCCAGGTGGGTCTCTCCCATGCAGGCCACTAGTATTGTCCCACGGTCTCGGAATTCACAGTCACAGGCTTAGCTTATTTTCGGAGCGACCGAGTGATCACGTGTTTTCTTTTCCCGCAACCATACCGACTTGAGATATCGCATATCACGTGGTACTATACCTTGTAAGTCTCATTGTGCCATCGATTGGCATACAGTAGCGACATCAAAAGCTTCTTTCTACTATATCTTGTTCAGATTGATAACTAGGTACAGTGCAGTACAGTACAGTAACTAACTAACAGACCCGCGCGCATTACTCCGTATTTCTCAAAGCCCAATAGTTCGCGTTAATGGTACGAGCACAAGCCTGAGTGTGGGGGTCTGATGAGGCTATACTAGTAGTGCAGTACGTGCGCCGTACAGTACAGTGTTGATCCCGCCCTCCCCCAGAGCAGCCCAGTGTTCTGTGCAGGATTTAGCTGCCTCCACCAGCCTCCAACCCTACAGTATGGATTCAGGGCTTATACGCTTATACGCTGCAAATCCAGGGTTTATGAGTAATTTGTATTCGCGATTGGGCTGGAACCCCCGAAGCCAGGATCCAATTGTGTAGCTCATCTCTTAGCGGCTCCTTCCACCAGATCTTACGTAGAGGAATAAAGAAGTCGCCTTTGTTAAATATCGAACTACCCCCCCGAGATCCCTTCATTACTTTGCACCTGAAGTGTCATGGTATTGTTTGTACCATCATTATCACCAAACCACCACTTTCTGTGAATTCTCTCCCTTCATCTGCCCGTGTACAAGCGTTACATACTCGGCGCGCGCATCTTCTCCCTCACCAACGCCTCAACGTCATCAACCACATGCAGCCCGCTCAACTACCTTTCCACCCTATTCATTATTCCCCCATCATCCACTTTCCATCCCGGAAATGGCGTTAAATCAGAAGCATGCGCCTACAGGCTTCGAATCAAACAAAGATCCCATATACGACTCTGAAAAGAACTCGAAATATGGCAGTGGCGACATGGAGAGCCGGGGAAGGCACTCGTCCAGCTTTGGGCAACGTGGTGGAAGAATCGGTCCTGTACTGAAGCATCTGAGAGGGACAACAGAGCTTGCAGGATCTGATTCTGATGCCAATATTTTGGCCGGGCAAATCGAGGCCGAGTCCGAAAATGCAATCCAGTATAGAACATGCAGTTGGCAAAAGGTGTGTAAATGGGTCCCTGCAATAAAGTGATGCTATCCAAGGCTTATGTCCTGCCCTGCTTGGAACATTTTACTCCAACCAAGACGAAAAGCTTCATGCGCTCTTACTACTACGCTAACACAATGCTCCCAGACTGCCGCGCTACTCTTCTCCGAGTACATCTGTCTGGCCATCATGTCATTCCCTTATAGTTACTCGGTTTTAGGCTTGGTCCCAGGCCTAATTCTGACTGTGGTTATTGCTGCATTCGTCTTATACACTTCTCTGGTTGTCTGGTAAGACCTCCCCCGTTCAAGTCTCTGCTCCGGACTTACATTTAAAAGGGAGTTTTGTTTGAGACACCCTGAGGTTCGAGATGTCTGTGATATTGGCCAAATGCTTTTCTGGGGTAAAACCTGGGCATGGTATGCTACTGCGGTCATGTTCATCTTGAACAACACCTTTATCCAGGGTTTGCATGTACTTGTCTTTGCCAAGTATCTCAACACCATCACCAACCACAGCCAATGTACCATTGTCTTCGCTGTCGTTGCAGCCATCATCTGCTGGTTGTCTTCCCTTCCTAGGACATTCTCGGCCTTGGCAAACCTTGCCACTGCTTCTGCATTCTTCACCTTTATCTCTGTCCTCCTGGCAGCGATCTTTGCAGGTATCGAGGCACACCCTGCTGGCTACAATCCCGATCCTAGTTTCATTGACCCAGTAACGGGAATCCACGGCGGGGAGCCAACTGTTACTGCACTTCCAGTTGCAGGAACCACCTTTGTTGCGGGCATGAGTGCATTCCTAAACATCAGCTACACCTTCATTGGTCAAATCACGATTCCAAGTTTCATTGCTGAGATGCGGGAGCCCAAGGATTTCCCTAAGGCATTGTGGGCTGTGACTATTGCAGAGGTCCTCGTATTTGGTATCATTGGTTCTGTTGTCTACGCCTACACTGGAAACCAGTACAACACGGCCCCGGCATTTGGATCTCTAGGAAACGAAACTTTCAAGAAAGTGTCCTTCTCATTCATGATCCCAACTCTCATCTTCCTCGGTGTTCTTTACGCATCTGTCTCTGCCAGATTCATCTTCTTCAGAATATTTGAGGGAACCAAGCATAAGTCTTCCCATACTGTTGTTGGATGGGCTGCATGGGCTGGTATCTTGGCTGCTACTTGGGTGTAAGTCATTAACTATCAGTGAATATTGCCAAAGCTAATCTTCTTCTAGTGGAGCTTTCCTCATCGCAGAAGTCATTCCTTTCTTCTCTGACTTGCTGTCAGTGATGTCCTCGCTCTTTGATTCCTTCTTCGGATTCATCTTCTGGGGTCTTGCATATGTTCGTATGCGAAGAGTGGACGGTGGTGTTACTTGGCTCTCGGACATGTCCATCTATGGATATTCGATGCTAGCGTTGAACCTCTTCATTATTGCGATTGGAGTGTTCTTCTTGAGCGCTGGTACTTATGCTAGTGTGCAGAGTATCATCAATAGTTACGCTGCGGGTACTGTTGGGGGTGTATTTACTTGTGCTAGCAACGGTCTATAGATATGAGTTTGAGTATTGTTATGACACGTGTTGAATGAATACGAGGCAACAGACTTTTTGGGTTTATTTCAGCATATGATTGGGCTCGGCGAGATATGGGTGGGTTGATGGGTAGATTTAGGCGTTGAAAAGTATACCATCAAGACTTACACTTGCCTTGACTCATACGCCCTTCCCTCCCTACCTTACTCCACGGAAGCGGAGCAGCAATGCTGAACACTTAAGCAAGCAGACAATCTGATTTCAGGTTTGAGTTCATTACTTTACAATTCATTTCCTTCATTCCTTTCATCTTATTTCCTTACTCTCCACACCCTCAATTCTTCAACTCTTTTCCCATACACAACCCACCCCACCCCCTCCCCTCCCCTCCACTCACCCATCATAAGGCGCCATCAACGCATTCCCCTCAACCCCCGTCGGGAAATCCAACTCCCCCAAATGCGTCGTATGCGCCCAGGGCTTCAAGCCATTCTCCCTACGGATCGTCGCCGCGAAACACGCACTCCACCCGCGTCTCGGATAGGCCTTGACGACGTCCTCGATGGTAGCCGTGGCCACGAGGTGCGGGTTCGCGCCCATGTTGTCGAGGATGGTGGATAGTTGCAGGAGCGCCGTCATGCGCGTTAGGGTGCCTGTTGTGCCGAGATCCTGGTGGCGGATGATGGCTTCCGCGACGCTTTCGGCTTGTGCGATGGGTGAGGAGAGGCCTTTTAGGAGGGATAGGGAAATTAGACCCCCGTGGAACTCGAAGGATAGGAGCGTGGAGACTAGGTTGGTGGAGGTGGTGCCGATGTCGTGGAGCATGCAGGATAGGAAGTAGGTTTCGGTGAAGGAGGGCGTGGACCAGGTTGGAAATGCGTGTTGGAGGATTGCAAGGCCTGTTGGTTTGTCAGATTAACTCAACTTATAATGCATGATTCATTCAGCTTTCTTCGGTTCCGGGTTTTTGGTTCTATTCTTTTCGTTTCTTTCTTTTGGTGGTAGTGTTGTGGTGGTCGTCGTCGTCGTGTGTGGAGATGAATGAAAGGAGGGACAAAAAGAAGAAAAGTGAATACCGTAATAGTAAACACGCATGCTGTGATTAAAAGTCTCGACAGCTAATTCTTTCTGCGCGTACTCTTGCACCTTGCTCGCTAGCGGCGAAGAGGGGATGGGGATTGAGGAGATGGTGATTGGCACCGCGAGGGAGTCGGCGGAGGCGGTGGAGAGAGAGAGGAGCGCGGTGACGGAGCGGGGGACGGCTGTGAAGCCGTAGGCTGCTATGGAGGGATTGGGTGACATTTTGAGAGTGTTGTTTATTGTTCTTGGGAGATAGATAGAGAGGTGGTGGGGTTTGGGAAGTGATATAGATAGATGTAGATACTAGAAGGATTGGAATTGTATAAACGACAGACAGACAGACAAAACGTCTTGGAGAAATGAAAGCTTATATATACCACGAGATGGTAAGATTACTTACCTCTAGCTATAATCATTACCTAGGTGCAACGCCTGCTGATTAGAAATCAAATCGCATGTTCACCGAGCTGATACTTCAACGTTGAGTTCAAAGAAAATGTTTCTCCACGGGAGACTTGCGGGGTCGTTCTTCGTCATTCTCGACCCCTGCATGTCATTGGACTCTGGAGATACTGTCCAACCATTTATGGGTAATAAGGTGTCGGCTCTGTTGTTCCTTTTAGAAAAACTTTCTCCATGTAAGCAGGTGTATGTAAGCAGGTGTATACATTGGGTAAAGGCTTCGAAGTCAAACACGGTGATTGGTGGATGACAAAGATTAGTGCCCAAATAAGCCATCTAGAACGCCCCGAAAAATATTCATCAAAGTTTCACCGAGTCTAAGTAAACCCCTTTAGAGTATTGACATTCTATTATGGTGCTTGATTTTCCCCATGTCCGAAATACTTGTACACAACGCCCGTCCCCCGAAAATCCCAGACACCCCAACATGCTAGACAAAACAGAGGAATCAAATGAAGGCGTGGTCTCGTGTAATTAGAACCTCTTTGACAAAGAGGTAGTAAAACTGACAAAGGAAAAGTTGTCAAGAGCGCGATGTCCAATGCTAGGCATTGTTAAATTTGCCCCAATCAAGCCTTCAGCTTCATCTCCAAACACCCAATACACAAAACATGCATTTCACCTCCAACATCTCGGGGGTAGAACGATCCGTCAGAAAATCCGGTATGGCATTCATGACAACGGAAACATTTATCATGCCATTCGCCACCCATAGCTTGAATGTATTGTCCGATGACAGGTTGTTTGCACTTCTTGCACTTGGGAGCTTGCCTCTCAGTGCGTTTCGTCTGGCAATTCAAGCACCAAGCATAGCCATCCTTCTCAATGTGAGTCTGACCCTTCTCAAAAGGGTCACCACATTCGGCGCAAAAGAAATGGCCGTAGTGCCAGTGCTCGCCTAGTGCAACAGTACACTCTCCGATGATGGGAGTTTTGCAGTGCTTGCATTTGGGAGCAAAATTCTCATGCCAGTCAAGATGACAGTAGAAGCGCATTCGCTCATCTCCATCCTCAGCAAAAGTCTGGCCCTCGATTTCTGGGAGGTTTTCACCCTGAGCTCTGCGCTTTATTCTGTCAATGCGTTCACCGCGATGAGCATCTGGTTCGCATCGAATTTCCAGTGACTCTAGTCCTGTCCCACAAGTGAAACAGATAAAGCACTGAGGATGGAAATGTTGCGAGTTTCCCCGCAGGTTTAGAACTCGTCCTTCGATAGGTAGTTGACACTGATGACAGGTCGCAGTTGCTCTATTTCCAGCTGCAGCAGGCGACCAATGGCCTCTAGGAGTTGGCACTGCTCCATAATTCCGAGGTTTGGGTCTACTCGAAGCAGTTTTCGGGTCCGGAAGAGGTCTCTGACCATTTGATTTTGGTGTAGTTGATGTAGATGTTGAAACGTTGATAGTTGGAACTTCAGGCGCCGAGACAGAAATCTCAGGAGCGTCGGGAAAGTTTATTGTAGGGACAGACGGCGTAGAATCTGGTAGGTTGATAGTAGGGACAGACGGCATAGAATCTGGTAGGTTGATAGTAGGGACAGACGGCGTAGAAACTGGTAGGTTGATAGTAGGAACAACAGGCCTAAAATTTTGGAGGTTGATGATCGGAACGGATGGTTGAGAACCTGGAAGATTTATAGTAGGGACTGATCTGGCTGGTGGAGCCTTCACTTGGAGGATCGATGGAACAGGGTTAGGTGAAGGGCTAGGGGATGAGACATCTTTCGAATCTGAACGAGTAGGTAGGCTCTGCCTTTGACTACCGAAGGTACCGCGATCTCGGTCGAACGGTGTTCTTCTTCGCACTTCTGGCTTGTCATCAGCCTCTTTCGGCTTCCAATTCTTATCAAAGCTTACGATCGGACGGCCAGGCTTGTCACTGACAATCGTGGGCGTCGGTAGTTTAGGACTTCGATCTTTCAACCGCATGCTGGTTGCTTGACGAATGTCATCGCTTCTTATTTCAAGCCCATCTTTAGTTGGTGTTCCTGAGGCTGGCTCCTCATCTTGAGCGGGTTTTGGCTCAGGAGCTTTGATTTCAGGAATAGGATTAGCCGTATAGAGCGGGTTTCTGGATTGAGTTGGCGGATTTCGATATATCTCGGTCCTAGACAGCTTCTTGGTTTGTTCTGGGGGGGTGCTGCTTGAGCGAAGTCCAAGATCCTGGACAAACTGCACGCGATTGAGGGGGTTACGAGGTTTGATGTGTAAAGGAGCTGGGGTAACTTCATCTTTCTGGGCTCGTCCTCGAGTGATATCTTCAGGCTCCTCCCAAATTTGCTCACCAGAAAAGCTACCGACCACCTCACCACTTATATTTCTCTTGGTGCTGATTCGTCTTCGTGAGCTACCGTGTGGTTTGCTGCCATTTGAAACGCTGCCATAAGACTTCTGATTTGGATTCGGGACTGTATTGGCCCGAGGTTGGTCCAATGAATGTCTGACTCTGATCTCCGTATTGGTGTAGCCTCCGGACCCAGACTCAGTAGAAGACCGGCTTGAGACGCGACTTATAGGTATGCCCCCGCTGCTACTTGAACCGCCAGATACCGAGCGAGGAGTAATATCCCTGGCTAACCCCGTAACCATACCCATGCCTCCATAGCGACCAACGGATTGTGTTCGGGCATGTTGGTAGCTATTTTTTCTGAGATGATCATTGTATCGATATGGGGCTTCTGGATGAATAGCAGCTTGTGGATTTTGATGTTGATAAACCAGTTCTGATGCTTCGTTCTGTGCAGCGTTATGAATTCTTGCTTCTTCCTCTTCCTCCTTGCTCAGAGGCATATCCTCCATAGCCTCTCGAAGTGATACAGCCTCTTCCTTCTCCATCCATCTTTGTCCTCGTTCAATGTATGTAGCAGTCGGAACCACTTCTGAGGGCTTGAGGGGTCTGGATACGTCTGGTTGTTGAACGAGTTGTCGGCCAGTTCTTGAAGTCATGGAGGAGTAATTTGAAAATGCTGATTGTGCTCGTCTGTGGGACATGGAACTCGCAGATCGGGGAGCATATTCTGTAGAAGATCTCTCTGGAGAATCGGGTCTCTGTGTTTTCGTGGGTGCTACTTTCTCCGAGTCACGACGGGTACTGGCTGGTTGTGGTCTTGCGCCGCTTGGTCGTGCAACGCGGGTATTTCTTAAGTTGGCGAGATAATCAGCTGGCAAGTGTTAGCATAAGTAATCTAAAGCTTTGAAAGTGCCTCAAAGTTCTGCGACGCCGGGCAGATCGTGAAGGCTTCGCATACCAAATTGATCATTCGACATGTAAACAGGCCCGGGTGGAGTCACTTTGCGAATTCGGTCTTTGGCCTCTTTGGACCTGCCTCGAAGCATGGTGAATTCAGTTCAAGAGGCAGATTGTTGTTATTGGAGCGATATGTTGAAGTGTGGTTTTGTGAAGCGTGAGTGTGGGCAGAATAAGTTTGTTGATAGTGCTTTGTGATATAGTGTTTGGGAAAAGCAATCTGCAAGGCTTTACATTCATGCGATAGTAACAAATTGAATCGCAGCGAAGGTGTTGAGAGGGTGGAACTGGAAGAGAGAGTGTTTATAGACAATTTAATTCAAGGCATAAACACCAAAACATTGGGAGACATGTGGAACGGCAATGGTGATGAGTCGCGAATAAAAATACGGGGCGATATTGACATGGCACCATGGCAACGAGTGGTGGCTTGTGGCTTGACTAAAAACAGCACTCAACAGGGTAGCTCATCATGTGCCACTTGGCTTGGAACATCAAAAACTGGTGCCGCTTTGTCTGCGAACCGACTACTGTAAGTGCAGAAGTTGTTGCGATAACGACAACTCATCTCGCACGTTTCAAGACCCCGTTTGCTTTGTTTCTGCTGTTGGAGGCGGAAAGCAAGAAACGTATCTAAGGAGGGGGGGGGACTGTATAAAATGCAAGCAAGGCAGAAAGAAACATGACTTCCTTACCTTACTTCGGAAGGCACTGCATCCACCTTCAAATCCCTATCTTTTGTGAACGCCACCAGTCTTCTTCTTCCTCCTCTTCTTTCTCATTTTGCTCCATCTCTCTCTCTCTCTCTCCCTCTTCCTTTTTCTTTCTTCCTCTCGTCCATCTCCGGACAGTCAAGGATAACACTCATGAAAGCAAGATGATGCGTCCCGTCCAAGAGGCAGCTTATTCCCGAAGCGATATTTCCAATTTCGCGGGGTATCGTATCGTAGCGTCACTCTAAAGCGAACGAAACGCTTGTAGATGACTCAACATGGGATCCATGGCTGCTCATTCTGATTCACGTCTTCACTTGTCTCTGTTTATCAATAGTTCTCCTCGAGACGGTTCCACCCACTACTGAAATTGACTGCAGGCGTTCCCCCACTTTGAATCTTCTTTTCCGTCATGACCCAAAACCGAATGGAATATTCTGGGTTTGAACTTGGTCCTGATTCTGAAATAGAAGGAAACTTTCCACCTGCGTCGGAGAAGACTATAAGAAACGACACTCCTGGAGAAATCCAGCAAGAGGAGGCAAAAGTACCAGATGTACCACCAGATGGAGGCTATGGATGGGTCTGCGTTGCATGTACATTTCTTTTAAATGCCCATACGTGGGGACTCAACAGTGTAAATACATGATCGATCATTTTGCTGATGAGATTTTGCTAACCACCGACAGTCCTACGCTGTCTTTCTTGCCCATTATTTACAAACAGATACATTTCCCGGCGCAACAGCCCTCGCGTACGCCTTCGTGGGGGGACTCTCTGTTTCATTAGCCCTGTTGATATCCCCCGTGGCAACAATATGCGTACGAAAGTACGGGACACAAGTAGCTCTATTTATTGGTATAGTATTTCAATCTGCAGGGCTCCTTGGGGCATCATGGGCCTCTGAAATCTGGCACCTATTTCTATCACAAGGCCTAGCTTTTGGATTGGGAATGGGCTTCTTGTTCGTTTCCAGTGTGGGAGTTGTTCCGCAATGGTTCTCCAAGAAAAGATCCTTTGCAAACAGCATAGCTAGTTCGGGAAGTGGGATTGGGGGCATGATGTATTCCCTGGCTACAAACGCCATGATTCAGTCTGTTGGCCTGGCCTGGGCTTTTCGAATTCTTGCAATTATTTCGTGCTTAGTTAATGTGGTTTGTACTCTACTCATCCGAGACGTAAGTCATTCCCAAACTATCAATTTCCTCCTGTTACTATACACGCCAGAGCACAATGTTCCACGACGTATCTCGGTACCAAATTAGATTCACGCAACATGAAACAAGATTTCAGATCTACATGCTGACATTACCTAGCGTAATAAAGCTGTTGGTTCCATCCAGCTCGCCTTCGATTGGCGACTCTTCAAGCGAATGGAATTCCTCTTGATGCTAGGCTGGGGCTTCTTCAGCATGCTTGGATATATCGTGCTCCTCTTCTCGCTCCCGAATTATGCCAGGAGCATAGGTCTATCAGCACAGCAAGGCTCGGTCATTGGAGCGTTGTTGAACCTTGGACAAGGTATATCTCCGCGGTTCGTGAGACGATACACGAATTATTATGCTAACCCGATATCTAGGCATTGGCAGACCCTTTGTTGGGTACTTTAGTGATGCAGCTGGTCGTATCAATATGGCTGGATTTTGTACTTTCCTCGCAGGTCTATTTTGTCTCGTTATCGTAAGTATCACCTTACAAAACCCCATTACCACCTATGGAGTTGCCATGGAAGCAATAACGCTTGCCCGCCGACAACCTCTGGCAACCCCTGGTTCCAATTTATATATATATATATACAGTACAGACTAACTCGATCTAGTGGACATCCGCAAAAAGCTACGGTGTTCTAATCTTCTTCGCCATTCTAACCGGCACCGTCTCCGGAACGTAAGTCTCACCCGTTCCCCAAAATACAGCATCACAAACTCACACATCCACAGCTTCTGGGCAACCATCGCCCCCGTCGGTGCCGAAGTAGTCGGACTACAAGTCCTCCCCTCGGCCCTCTCAATCGTATGGCTGGTCCTCGTGCTCCCCTGCACATTCGCCGAACCAATCGGCCTGAAATTGCGTGCCACGTCAGGAAATATCTATCTGCACGCCCAGCTGTTTACGGGCTTTATGTATATCGGTGCTGCGGTCTGTGCGTGGTTTTTGAGGGCGTGGAAAGTTAGCGAGTTGGAGAGGGTGAAGGGGGGGAAGGAGGAGCGGGAGAGGGAGATCAGAGATGATGACCAGGTGCCGAGGGATGCGCTGCAGAGGAATGAGAGTCGGATCAGTACGTTGAACGCGGCGAAGGGGCTGTGGAGTTGGCAGCGTGTCTAGTGAGAGGTTTTGGCTAATGTGGTTATTCGAATGCCCGTAAATACTTGTACATATAAAAGTATATGATCATGAATCAAGAATGTATTATTATAATCTTTACAGGCAAACTACAAATAAGAAATATTCCAATTTCCATTATTGAGAAAAGAATTGTATCGTACTAAGGGTAAAGAGCGAAAAACTACCACTGGTATAGAATGATCATTGCATTTTTTTCACTTCATTTGATTCATCCCAGAGTTTGGGTTAAACCTTATCCCACGCTTTTTCTCATTAACCTCATGACATAAACACGTAAGATGCCATAAATGAGACCAACTCCCTAGATACCCAAAATAACGCCATACAATGCAACGCAACATCCTCATCCTCTGAAAAGTATCCCCTTTCCCCCTCCAGCACCTCAACCCCCCAATCTCCTCAAACAATCTGCCCTGCAATCCCCAGCCCCATCCCCGCAACCACGCCCGCAGCAGCCATACCCCCGACCGTCTGCCTCGCCCTCCCCGC